ACCAGAACTCCCGTGGACAGGTGGGACCAGAACTCCCGTGGACAGGTGGGACCAGAACTCCCGTGGACAGGTGCAGAAGTCTTAGAGACGTGCAGAATCACTGGACTGACTCAGAAGTTTAGCAGCTAACCGTTACATTTAACCAGTTTCATTATTTTTCTGCTGAACCAAAACTTAAATGCAGTATAATTTATACTGAGCACGCATCAGGATATAATTAGTTTTACTTTTATTACTTTAGTCAGTTTTGTTATTTCAGTGAGCTTTTAAAGCCTTTCGTTAAAGACAGAAAAAACCTCAGGACCAGTTTGTCCACGTCTGTCTCTGAGCACCGCGGTGAGGACAACAGCATCAGACGATCAGTAAAAACATTTTGTGCTCGGGCCTGCACAAGAGCCTTAATTACTCTGAAGCTCTAAAATATTGATGAGCTAATCTGCAGAGCCTTCAGCCTGCAGGTTCGCTGAAATGGGCAGAAACCAAAGCCTGGAAACCGTTTTATTCTTTGGCTCTGAAAACAATCTGTTTTTTAAACTTTACTTCCCTCCGTGGTACGTGTGCGCTCACACATTCACCTTTGTCTTTCATGTTCCACCTGCTGCTTCTGTTTTCCTTCCTGCAGCAAGCGCCCGTCTGGGAGATCACCGGCGCAGAGTTTTCCAAATCCGAGATGCACACCGCCGACGGCATCTCCATCCGGTTTCCCCGCATGACACGAATCCGTGATGACAAGGACTGGAAGACCGCCACCAACCTGCACCAGCTCAAGGTGGAGACATTCGCCGTTTCTGTTTGCAGCAAACTGAAGGCGCCGTGGGGAATGATTAAGAAGCGCCTCTTACAATGAAGTTTTAATGAGATAGCAATCGTAAAAGATGCACCAGAAAGTGTTTACTCTATTGAAGAGGAGGTGTGCCCTCTGGGACTGGTTGGTGCTCATTACTTTGCATTGTAATATAACAAGAGAGGGTAACAGGTGATGGAAGGGATGAAATAATTAAAACACTGCTTTAAAAAAAGGGATTTAAATGCCAAGGAGGAGCAGCACATTTACAGCCAGAGTTATCCAAACAAGATGAAACATTAGCCGAGGTGGTAAAACATGTCTGCTCTAGACAGAGGTCTTTAATCTGCGTGACAGAGAACATCTGCTCTTCAATCTGTCTGCTCAGGAGCTCTACCGCATATCTAAGGAGCACTGCGACTTTAAAGTGACCGCCGGTCCTTCGGCGTCCAACGACAAGGGGTCATCGGGGGGAGACAGCGGAGGAAGCTCGCCTTCGTCCAGCAGGAAGACGCCAGCCAAGAAGACGAGTGAGTACCCGAGGCAGGGGTGTCGAGACACGTGGTGGTACCGGTTGAAGCAGGACGGTTACGGTTACATGAGTTCACACTCAGCTAAAGTTATAGTTCAGATTTTTTGAAGTGGGGGTGGGAATCTTTAGAGCATATGATGATTAGATGACGTTTCAAAATCTAAATGAACTGTAGTTATAGAGCGTTTCTATCCAAACTGGCTGCCCAATCCAAAAGTCATTGTTGGAGAATTTTCATCATCTTGAAACTTAAATGACTGTAAATAATAAAAGTGCATATATGTTTAAAAATAAATAAATAAATATATATATATATATAACCCTATTATCACAGGCTGCTGACCAACAATTATAGATGCTAGGCTAAAAAAAAAAAAAAAAGTCCAGGCAGGATGGAGAAAAGTTTCAGGAGTGATTTGTGACAAAATGGTGTCGGCAAAGGTCAAATAAAAAGTTTACAAGACCAGTGAGACCAGTTATGTTGTATGGTCTGGAGACATGGACAAAAAGACAGGAGACAGAACTGAAGATGTTGAGGTTCTCCTTAGGAGTGACAAGGATGGATGAGATCAGGAATGACATCATCAGAGGTGCAGCACAGGTTGAACAACTGGGAGGTAAAGTTAGAGAGGACACACTGAGATTGTTTGGACATGTCCAGAGGAGGGACAGTGGGTATACTGGTAGAAGGATGTTAGAAATGCAGCTGCCAGGAAAAAATGAAGAAGGCCAAAGAGGAGATGTATGGATGCAGTTAGAGAGGACATGGAGGTAGTTGGAGTGAGGACACTCTGTTGGACTCCTGGCAAGGACCAATGCAGATGTGTTCCTGTTTTTAGTTTTCTACATTCACCTTATAATCCAGCTGTTTTTGTTACTTTTTTGGCCAAATTATTTGTAAAAAAAAAAAAAAAAAATCTGTATGCCTTTTTGTGGTTGTCTATTGTTGTCACTGTTGTCCATTGTTGTCATCATTTTGTGTTAAAATCAGGTCTCTCTTGTAAATGAGTCCTTGAGGCTCAATGGGATTTACCTGTCTAAATAAAGGTTGAATGAACATGCAGAGGACAGAGATGAAGGATGATGATTCGCTGTGGTAAGACCGTAAATTTAAACACAATTGAAGTGTTTCCAAGTCGTTAAAGGACAGTGAGGGTAACTTCTGCTGTTGTTTACAGAGATAACTTCTGAGTCCAGTGAAAAATGTTTTTACTAAAGGAAGCTACGGTAATTCAGGAACCAAAGGCACCGCACAGAAACAACGATGCTGGTTGTCCTAAAGTGCAGCACAGAGTCGTGTTCTCAAAATCCAATCAGAAACTTCAAAGCATCTAAAGAGAGCGCAGTACAGCAGTCCCTCGCTACTTAGTGGTTCGACTTTCTTGGACTCGCTCTCTCGTGGTTTTTCAAAGTACGAGTGGACATGACTCACAATTGGCTGATTGATGGATGAGCCGCACGAGCGGCATGGATTGTTTATTTAAAATAAATTATTTAGCACCTGTGTGCAGCCCACAGGTGCAGGGAGAAGCTCCCTCTGCAGCCTGTCATGATCTCCTCTCTGCCACCCACACACTTCGGCTCCGTGCAGCATTAACCCTTTGCTGTCCTGCTGCGCTTCTCTTCTCTGCAATTTAAATTCTGTAATATTTAAAATAAACAATCCATGCTGCATGGTTTATTTAAAATATTACAATTTTTAAATTTAAATTGTTTATGTACACAAAAGGTGGGAGATTGGAAATGAAACTTGGACTACTGTGTTAAGAATCAATTACACAAAGAAACGGCCTCCCCTTTTGTTTAAACAGTCACGTATGTTGAAGGTCTAACTAGTAGAAACCGCAGCAGAGGTTTTTTTTCTTTGCAAAGAAGTTAAGATTTCAGACAAGCAATGTATTTCATTGAGGACGACAAAGATAACTTTACTAGCACCGATATATTTTACCTCTACGTTAGATTTATTGTTCTGGATAAAGTTTTACAAGGCAATAACTTACAATGGGTTATCTAAACGTTACGTAGATAATGACAACAAGTGGGTTGGAGGAGTTTTACAGATCAGTTAAAATAAATTTACATGCTCTGTTCAGCAAAGTACGCTACACAGTATTGCTCCCTGCTTCGGCTGTACTGAAAGTGAAAGTGGACGGCCTTGAATTGAAATTCCACACACGCCCCCTGCTGGATACATTGTACAACTACACCGTTTGCAAGAAGGACGCATCTTGGTTTATGTCGGCGCATAATGAGACAATTATTGCCGATACCTTATCGGCCTAAAATATCAACGTGTCGTCAGGCTGTGGTAACAAGTATTTATCCCAGCTGTAGATCTTTGAATCGGGGTTTAATTTGAACTTATTTCCCAGGTAACAGCACGCCGTCCAAACCAAAGGCGGTGAAATCAGAGCCTCGCACTCCCAGCTCAGAGGCGCCGAGCGCGAAGAAGGTAAGAGCTTTGCACAATAAGTCCACTGCTTCATCGTCCGGGATGAAATGACCTCCGTCTACTGCCAGGTGAAGAAGAGTGAAGGAAGCGTTCACAGCAACGGGCAAACCAAACCAAAGGCAACTTCTCAACTGATGGAACCAAGAAATGACCAGGTCAGTGTATGACGAGTGTCTTTTAATGAAAACTTACAGGAATTATAAAAACACAACTTTCTTCTTTTCTGCAAACGAATGTGTAAATACTTAGACATTATTTCTAGTCATTAAAAATACTCGTATTGTTCAGAACTCTCTGACCCTCAGTGTTCCTCACAGACGCTGCTGGACATCTTCAGCGGAGTGAAGCTCTTCCTGCCCGTCTCCATGCAGGACTTTGACAGACTGAGGAGGTACTTCCTGGCTTATGACGGAGACCTGGTGCAGGATTACGACGCTGCATCAGCCACACACACCCTGGCTGAACCTGAGGACGACGGCAAGGCCCAGAAAGTCTCGTCCAACTGGATCTGGGAGTGCATTCGCAAGAGACGCCTTGTGCCAGCCTGTTGATGAAGAGACGAACCGTCCAACCATAAACTCATCTGTGCAGATCTAAACGTGCACACGTGTTTTCTGCCAACACTGAACTCAGGCTGTTTTTTATATGTGCTTTTTGGGATAAACGGTGGAATCCTAAAGTCAGTTTTTGTGTTTTATCATCCCGCTGATGAAATGTTTTCTTAAATCTAAACCGGAGTGCAGTTTTTCACAAAACTCACAGGACAGATTATTATTAGATTAATGAGCATCACTTTTCACTACAGGAGCAAGATCGCCAATAAATATTTCTGCAGCCACTTGCAGTAAAACATTCATAAATATATTGATCAAAAAATATAAAAGCAACACTTTTGTTTTTACTGCCATTTTTCATGAGCTGAACTCAAAGATCAAAGACTTTTTCCTTTATCTCTCGAATAGTCAGATTTGTGTAAATCTGTGTTAGTAAGCTTCTCCTTTATCGAGATAATTCATCCACCTCACAGCTGATCAAGGTGCTGATTAGACAGCCTGATTATTGCACAGGTGAGGCTGACCACAATAAAAGGCCACTCTAAAATGTGCAGCAGCAATTGTCATGCTGACTGCAGGAACGTCCACCAGAGCTGCTGAATGTTCATTTCTCTACACGAAGGGGCGTTTCAGAGAATTTGGCAGTTAATCCAACCGGCCAACAGACCACGTGTAACCACACCAGCCCAGGACCTCCACATCCAAGATCGTCTTGAGACCAGCCACCTGGACAGCTGCTGCAACAATTGGTTTAAATAACCAAAGATTTTCTGCACAAACTGTCAGGAACCGTCTCGGGGAAGCTCATCTGCTGCTCGTCATCCTCCTCAGGGTCTCCACCTGACTGCAGTTTGTCCTCGTAACTGACTTGGGGAGGCAAACGCTCACATTCGATGGCGTATGCTACGTTGGAGAGGATGAATCCTGGTTTTCACTTCACATGGCAGACTGTGGGGTCATGTGGGTGAGCAGTTTGCTGACGTCAACGTGAATTGAGTGGCCCATGGTGGTGGGGGTTATGATATGGGCAGGTGCCTGTTGTGGACAACAAACACCCCACAGGCCACAACCATCGACCTGATCAACTCTCAAGGAGATGTTGCACCGCGTGAGACAAGTGGTGGTCACACCAGATACTGACTGGTTTTCTGACCATCCCAATAATTTTGCTTTTGGAAACTTTAGTTCCTCTTTTTCTGGATGTGAATCACATTTTTTGGACGATTGTTTCCTCTGGTATCAGATGCTGTGCAGCTGGAAGGATTTTTACTGAAACTTTTTTTAGTTTTGGACATTTGTTATGATGCGTAACCATGGCAACAAGGCAGTTTTCTACAACTAACAGCAGCTGATTAACATCTCAAAAGCTCAAATAATATCTCAACTACAGCCCAAAATCTCAAATGAGTTGAAAAGGATGTTCTGTGGATGCATTCTCATCTACCTGCCAGCTGTGCTCGAGTGCCTGACCACCGATATCCTGGAACTAGCAGGAAACACGGCTCATGACAGCGGAAGGACAGGATCGTCCCTCGGCACCTACAGTTAGCTGTCCGCAGTGACGAGGAGCTCGGCAGACTGCTGGGAGGAGTGGCCATCGCTCTGGGAGGAGTTCTGCCCAGCATTTGGGAGGTCCTACAACCCGAGGGGAACCGAGGTGTCAGCCGAGTCTGAGTGGATGGATCGGACGGCATCTGCAGCCAGTTTCTTAGGATCCACTGTGGGATGGACCTTTGCAGGAGATCCTTCCTGTCTACAGTCATCAGCATCTATAACAACTCTTAATGAAATGAGGATAACGAGTTACAACAACAAATAATTTCCCTCTGGGATTAATAAAGTATTTTTGAATTGAATTGAATACAGTAAAAGTAAACTGCACATTTCAGAGTGGCCTTTTATTGTGGTCAGCCTAAGGCTCACCTGCGCAATAATCGTGTTGTTTAATCAGCCACACCTGTGAGGTGGATGGATTGTCTCAGTAAAGAACTCAATCTCACAGATTTACACAAATTTGTGAACAATATGAGAGAAAAAGTCTTGGATCTTTGACTTGAGCTCATAAAAATGAGCAAACACAAAAGTGCTGCTTCATATTTTTGTTCAGTGTAGTTTGTGCCATAATTCCTTACAGCAGCACTGCTGGCGTCTTGAGCTACCTCTGTTTCGTGGGACGTTTTCATGAGCAGATGTAAAATAATCTTAAGAGTCCCACGAACTGCAGCATTTAAAGAATTAAAACCTGATATTTTACAGCTGTTAGGGCAAAAAACATTTAAATTTTTAACGTTTTTAACTTTACTGTTGATGTGTTTAGGTTCTACCTTGGAGAGCCTTGATGTCAGGCTCCATTCACACGTGGTTGATCTCGTGTTCATTGACTAAAAATATCATGTTTACATGATAAAGCTTTGTTCAGTGAAGCCGCTGTGGTTTCCATGCCAGGTCACAGGCTGGCTCTGATTTTTGTATTAAACGACGTGCAACTAGTTACTCCAACAACTGTGAATACAAGAACGTTTGGGCCGAGGACAAGTTGATTCTACACATTAAAAAGGAGGCAGCAGCACTTTGCTATTGCTGCTGTGTTTCATGAACTTGCGCAGAAATTCTATTGACTGCAGCCGTCAGTAGTGCGCACGTGCACTTTCACACTGATGTCAGGCGTTTCGAAAAGCATCCACTGTGATACCTGGATTTTAAAAAAAAAGCTGAAGTGAGAGAAAACGACGGCCAAAATGCTTTAGTTTCACTTCAGAACGGGGCTTTAGAGTACGGTAATAATTTATTTTACCTTTAACGATATGAAATATATTTGAGATGAGCCTTTTATCCCTGACCATCTTCAGGTTGTAGGAATATTTACGAGCTTTACCTGAAACGTACACGTGTGAAAAGCTGTTTTTGTGCTAATCAGTCTGACGGAGCGTCGCTCCAGCTCCCAACTAAAGTGGTCACTTTTGAACTTAATGACTGAACCAATCAACCAAACGCTCGCGCTGAGACGTACTTTCTCCTCCAAATAGGATCCAGGGACGTGAACTCACCTTTGCTCTGACATTTATGAGGGGGCAGAGTTTCTGTCATGAGGATTCAGTCTGATCCCGTGTCCTTTTTCTTGAAGCTCCTCGTTCTGCGCGACTCCACCACCGCAAGTCAAACTCTTCTTTGACGTAACACGGCTGCGAAGGAGAGAAGACCGCAAAGATTTAGGAGACTCAGCATTGGTTTCATCCGAGGGATCGTTTTAAAGACTTGTCCAGTTCTTCTGTCTGCAGGAGGAGTTTTTAGTAAGAACCACAAACCATCTGGTTTTTACAACAGATTTCAGACGGATAAAAAGCAAATGAACCACTGGATGGATTTAACTGAAATTAAAAACCATTTTTCAGCTGCTAACTTCACTGTAAAAAGTAATGGAACAGACAAAACGTTTGATAAACTCCACGAGAAATATCACTAATAAAATAAAAACAAAGAATTGATTCAGTTCATTTAGATTTAACGATAAATAAAAACGGACTAAAGTGTGAAACACTCAAACTTAGCACTCACTCCACTGAGAAGTTGAGTGTGAAAATAGCTTTGATATCAGGGATAAATATACAAACAGAATGCCATATCCCTTTCCCAAGCAGCGATTACATGATGCAGCGGCCTGCCATATAGCCTCTCATCTTCAACGCAGCTGATTTAAATTAAACAGGCGGGTTCTCGAGCTTCTGGCTGTCATTCTGAACCACCGTGCTTTGTTTGAGTCGAGAGCTTCTGCTGCTTCTCTGTTGCGATCGTTAACAAAATGCAGTTGAAGAAAACCTGCGCCCGCTCCGAGAGCAGTGACCACCACTAGTTCATGTTGCTGTCCAAAACGTACCGAACCATCACGGGTGAACTGTATCGTTATAGCCTTGTCAAACACCTGCCCAGCAGGACGACCAAACGAGCGTGTCAGACAATTTAATCGGTTCTGATTGCACAGCAACTTCAGAATCACACATGCCAACGTGCAGCATCCAAATGTATCTCCTTAAACACAGCGTGCTGCGCGTCACGTTTTCTCTCCTCAGAACTGAACGGTTCAAACACTGGAGTCTGATGGAGGTCACATGTTCATGAGCAGCATCTCCAAAAAGAGTTAAGTCTGGACATTCAAAAAACAAAACAAAGCAAAAAAGTAGAAACGCTTCATCTTTCATCCGAAAGACTTCTTCATCTGTGGGAGGAAACCGGAGTACCTGGAGAAAACCCACACATGCACGGAGAGAACATGCAAACTCCACCCAGAAAGGTCCTGGGCCGGGATTTGAACCGTAAACCTTCTTGCTGAGAGGCAGCAGCTCTACCAACTGAGCCACCGTGCTGCCTGGAACTAAAGTTTACCGTGATATAATAAACAAAAACCTGTGAACATAAATACTCCACTCATGAGCAGCCAAAGAAAAAGCGTTTGGAAATATAATTTTTTTTAGAAAATGAACAACGTTCAGGGCTGATCTTCACCCGAGCGCTTGTTCAGGGTTCTGCACAGAAGCTGCAATGGGACCAGTCAGCATCCTAGTTCTGCATCCCAATGACGACTCATTATTTACTGCCCGTCTTTATGAATTAACGTGACAACGCTGCTCTCCTCTCTAAAATCTTCGCCGGGAGATGCGCTTAAAACGGATGTCGGGAGTTTTTGTCAAATCAGACCTGTGGTCAAACAACTCTGCCGTCTAATTTTTAACAGATGTTTTGACAACAGCGTTAAAAAAAGCCCGACGGGATCGGCAGCGGCTTGTACCTGTCTGGAGGACTTGATCAGCGTTGCAGAGCGGAGACTGGAGCAGCGGGCAGGTGGGGCCGTCTCAACTCGCTCCAGCAGGATTCTGGTTCTGGGGACGTGGCTCCACGACACGCCGAGGCCCGGCTGCACCGCTCCGCTGCCACTCCTCGTTACATGGTTTGTTACCTGTGGGCCCAGACGCGTTTTGTGGTTTAGAAAGAAACGAACCACTAACAGCATCTAACAAATCATCTGCGCTGCGCGCTTTTTAAATTTGCTTTGGTCTGTGTGAGTTTGTTGCTGCACCCAAACAGAGACAGGAAGATGTTTGACGTTCGGATCAGGCCCGAGAGCTCTAACAGGAGGAGTTGTACTGACAGAGGAAATGCAGCGTGCATTCAGAGCAGCGCCCTTCAAGGACCGTCATCCTTACCAGAGCAGCGACGCTGAAGTCCTTCGCCAGCGTCTTAAGAACTCCTGCCACTTGCATCATCAAGGACATGCCTGGAGGCGCAGGAAGACGTGGAGGTTGGTACATGGGCAGAATATGCCCAGTGTCCAAAAGTCACACAATTCTGTTTGCAGCTAAACTGACAAATACTCAAATTCTTACATCGATTAATAATTTTACCAACGTCGATTTATTATTGCCCGTCACTCCAACTGGTAGGTGGACGTTATTTTTGTTTGTTTCTGTCTTTTGTCCAGTTAGCTCAAGAACAACTGGACCAGTTTTAATAAAACTAACAGCAGCACCACACACGGCACATTATACAGCAATCTGTAACGTGCTCATACAATTATAGCAATCTACGGCCTGGACGAGCAGAGCTTGTATAACATTTGACCTTAATTTGTGACCTTGACCTTAAAGCTGGGGTGATGAGTGGTGTACGAGACACTCCAGCTTGCAATGATGCATAGGTGTGCAAAGTTTTGTTAAATTATTTTGAGCGGATGCCACGTTATGCGCGGGACAAGCAAACGTATATGGACGGACAGATGGAGATTATACCGTAATACATCCACCTTTTGACAGGCCTGTCGCAATAAACAATAAATCAATAATTGCATGATAAATGAAAATGATCAACTTCATTTTCATTGATCGGTTTTATCATTTATTCTTCTTTTCTTCTCTCTTTGCTAAAAGCAGCTAAGCTACGAGCTAAGCTAACAGGCCAACCTCGGGGAAAAAACCTCCGTCTTGTCGAAGCTCCAAAATTCACGGTTGAAACTCGTGCCTTCGTTTAAAAAGTTGTTTTTCTCTGCAAAAAGAAGCCGAGAGCTCGTTTACTGGTTTTTATTAAAAGTGTGAAAAATGCTTTGCTAAAGAGCTCAAACCACACAGAGCGTCCGCCATTTTGAGAACCGAAAAGAGACAGCCCATGTCACATCAAGAGGCCTCCCTCTCATTTTTCTTAAAGAGACGCTGCTCGCTCCCTCACTATCCATCCTTCGGTTCAAACAGTCTTATACTGCCATCCGGTGGTCAAAAAAAGGTACTACATGCAAATAAATTAACATTTCTTCTTAAATTTGACAATAACGACTAATTATTGTCAAATTTCAAACAATATTATCGTTTATCACAATAATTTCTGAGACAATTTATCGCCCAGCAAAATTTGTTATTGTAACTAGGGCATTAACAGAGTACTCGAGTAATTACACATTGATTGCTAGGACATCTATCGAGGTTAAAAATGTAACATCGAGTACCCGTAGTGACGTCATATTATGTGACCACCGTATGACCGCAGGGGGCGGAGTTGCACTGTTGCAGGTCACAGAGTGTGGTGTAACACCGAGTCCTATCCACCGAACCAGAACCAGTTTCTGTTCAGTTTCGTTTTTGACGTGCTGCACGTTTCTTCACGTTTGCAGTTTAATAATAATAACTAATAGTTTAGTTTTTCCTGTGACTTATTTGCAGTATGATAAATGGTAGGAGCATAATCCCAATGTTTTGTTGGTCTTTTTTTTGTTGTTGTAAATAATTACCTTTTTTTTGCGGTTTTATTTATTTATTTATTTTTGTATCTTGATCTATGACGTCATTAAATACTTGAGTTCTACTCGGGTTTTATTATGTTAATGTCAAGTTTAAAAATTATATACTCGTTCAACCCCTAATTGTAACAGGCCTAGCCTACATTAACGATCTCTGGATATACATCTACAGCTGATTAACTTTTAAATTCAATTTAAGATGGCGCAAACACAAAAATTTCTCTAACTCAGTCAATTTGATGTACCGTAATTTCTGGATCATAAGCCGCTACTTTTTTCACAGGCGGCTTATACAATGCTGCGGCTAATTTATGGATTTTATTTTGACGGGCTAACGAGCTTCCTGCCGCCAGAACATTTAAGCTCGTCACACCCAGGCGCTCACATAGCTGCCCAATACACGTCTCTCTTAGGGGGTGGGACCTCCACTCAGTGAGACCACCTGTTATAAATGAAGGTTAAAAAAATCTGACCAATGAAATTATGGAACAGGTCACTTGAGTCCAATAAAACTCGGTTTCATCGGTCCACTGGGGAAACGTTGTTAGAGCAACAACAGATTTAGCAATATCTTTGTTTAAAAATAGTAGGGAATGTGAGGCCCTTAACGTTGACATGTGTAATCTACAGCTCCACGGCTGCAGGACGGCTTGTAAAGAAAGAGACCCCACCTTCACTCAAAAATTTGCCTCCAAGCAGAGGGGAGATAACCGCCGACACCGAGTCCACGATCACCGCCTTCACAGAGCCGCCGCCGACAGACGCCTACCACAAAATGTGACAAAGTTAGACGGATGAAAAGTTTAACCCGCTCCCTCGAACGTCCCACAGGCACAGCTGGAGTTCTTTTTTTTTGCAAACGAACCTGCTGAAGCCCGCCGCCGTACAGCCCGTACAGGCAGTCGAGTAGAGCGTAGACGTCAAACAAACGGAAGACGCGAATCCTCTGAAGCGCCTCCATCTGGAAAGCAGAACTTCTTACGGTCAACAGATTTTATTTTAGATAAAAGTGTTTTTCTTTTTAAACGACAGTCGTGTCAGCTCACCTGCTCATCTGCGTTAGTCGTTTCAGACTGCAGCATCTGCAGCAAGCGTCTGGCAGTCAGCCCGCCAGTAGTATCGATGTATATGACACTCTGCTTCAGGTGGTGAGAAATGTGCACCGCGGCACCGAAACACACCTACAAGACATGAAAAAAGCACGCAGGGAATAGTCGGGACCGTATGAGTTTCTGGAACGATGACTCTGAATCTAATCTCATGCGCCCGAGGAGAGCGAATTCAAACGAAGTGTACCTAAATTTATGAGGTCGAATTTATCAAAGATTCTGTGGAAGAAAAGTTCACCTGAGATTTGCCGCTTCCTGGGCCTCCTGACAGCTCAGTTATCTCTCCAGTAAACAAGCCTGAATCCAGCAGTTTATCTAAGCTGCAACGAAAAAAATAAATAAAAAAAAGAGATACAATTCATTACAACGGCCATCCGGTTTCATAAACCATTAGCTTCAAGTGCAGCCGCAGGGCCAACAAAAACCGTGGTTGGGTAAACGTACAGTTTCTGTGTTTATCAGGATTTACAGCAGATTTTCAGCTGCTGTTGGATGACGGCTTATAAAACTGAACCCTTCAAACAAAAAAATCCATCAGAAGTGGTTGATTATCCTGAAGAAACTCGCAGCAGGTAAACGACAGGTGTTTCACTTTATTTCTATGGTATGTGACATTGTTACAGCTCAATGAAACGACTCCAGTTCCCATGAAAAGTGATTGAGATATAGCAATAGGCTAACGTACATCTGCATACCTTTAGTCTGATCAATAGTTTGGACAGATTTGTTGGTCCCCTTAAAGAGACGATTACATAAGTCGCATCAGTCCAAATATGTCTAATAAAGTGGAAAATACATAAATACATCACACCTCCGTATACGTCACGTCTATTATGCGTCACTGCTAACAACCCGGAAATGTGGGCCGGTGTTGTGCCAAAAATCGATCAACTGCCAAATGGCGGAAGCGTGCACGGGAGGTCTTTAACAAGAATTTAACAAGATTAACACTTAAAAATAATTATTTGTTTGCTCGACATTATTAGTAAAGGTGTGTCTCAGTTGAACTTATACTTAATAAATGCACTTCAATGGTCAAATCAGCTGCATTTCACCGGGGCGGCGCAGCGAAATGAAGCTGATTTGAAGGTTGCTCCAGGCATGATACCAAAGCTGGACAAAGGTGGCATCTATGGCAAGCCAATTCTGTCATTAATAGCCACTTTTACCTATTACATGACACAACAGCATGTCATACTGCTCAAGTGCCATCTAGCGGCTGAAAATGGTAGTGTTCAATAATTTCAATGTCGGAAGGAATGAAAATGATCATATCTCAGCCATAAATTGGTTTATATATATATATATATATATATATATATATATATATATATATATATAGAAAAAATAATAATAATAATAAGTCGCAGGGCATGCAAATTATGTAACAAACTGTGATTTATAGGCCGAAAAACACGGTAGTCTTTGCAGTATAGTCATGTTTCAAACTATGTGTTTGACCTTAATTAGTATCTCAGATGCTTTCGTCAAAGATTCAGTTATTTAAAAGTGAACAAAACAGACACTGTTTGGTATGGTGGTGTTCACCGTACTGAACATGGAGCAGAGAAATCAACGGAGTCGTCCGAGGAGCTCCAGAAGAAGATTATAGATGTCCATGTTCAAGGTGAAGGCTATGAGACCATCTCCAAGCAGCTTCATGTTCCTGCTAATAGTATTAAAAGTAGAAGGTTCATGGGATGTAGCCAACCTCCCAGGATGTGGACGTAAAAAGAAATGGGACCCCAGGTTTATCAGATGTAGATTTTAGGGGAGGGGGAGCCGAGGAAGTCTTCCAGAACCATTGAAGCTGCACTCCAAAGTCGAGGTTAGTCATTTTCTGATAGCAAAGTCGCATTTTAAATCATGAAGGGCTCTATGGACGAAGACCCAGGAGGCTCCACTGTTGGCAGAAAAACACAGAGTTCAGACAGGAATTTGTCAAAATGATTTTTTGTTTTTCATTTTGACAAAATTAAAAGGTTTCTAGGGCTGAAGGGCCAGACTTAGTCTTAATCTTACACTGACACTTAGTCACAAAAGTTGTTTTTTGTGTGTTTTTTTGCAACATGTTCTTGATCTAAGGATGAAATCAACAGGGTGTCTGATATAAAAGCTTGTGTGGGTTGATCAAAACATTGATCTCTAACCATTTATTTCATCATTTACAAGTTTTCCCCAAAGTCAATCACACTAAACTCTTGCCATTTTAAAACAGATGCAGCTAAAACCTGAAAATGACACTTTTATTACTTTTATTCAAAGAAATCTGGTGAGTGACACGTGATCTCTGGAGAGGATTTACAACCTTGCCAGTCTTGTTCTGGGTTTGTTGGTGAGACATGAGTAAATCTATCCTGAACCCCACCTTTGCACATCCACAGGTTGTATATAACCGGCCTCCTCCAGACAAGTGTTTCCACTTTTCTTCTGTACGTGCTCACACTACAAGAAACTCGGGTCATAAATCACCAGAGCTCCATTAATTTCCAACCGAGTGGACTAAATGAAGACTGGACCCGTGTGAAGAGGTAGAAGTGGTTAAAAAAGAAGGCCAGAGTGGAAAGTTTCACCTCCATCCAATCTGATTTTAGTTTGTGAATAACAGCTCTGCCAAGCCAGAGTAAAACTGGTGTCGTGTTTGTTTACAGCCAAACCTCGACAGTCCAAAACATTGGATCCTTGATTTTTTAACATTTCAAAGTACTTTTTAGGCTTTTATGGGTATTGATCATCAATCACATACACACACACACACATATATATATACACACACACACACACATATACACACAAAAAAGTATATATATACATGTATATATATACAAATATATATATATATATATATATATATATATATGTGGGGAGTGGTGGCGCAGAGGTAAGAGAAATGCACATTTGTTTTGATTGTATTTACCCAGAATACCCTGCACTGTAGTCCACTTCCTGCTTTTGGAGCGGTCTCCGGTCCGCTTGCATTCACAATCGAACCGCGCTAGAGTTCACTTCAACCGAACTGAGACCTTGGCTTTTAGGCGGAACAGAGTTTGCTGTTTTGATCCGCATCAGAGTTCGCTTACGCATTCACACCTCCCCAAACGAACCGGACTTTCTAGGCAAACGGACTGGAGTTTGATTAAAGTGGACTAAACAGAGCTGTTGTGAATGAGGTACAAAAACGCTGCCATGTTCTGCCGAGCCTACGTTGCATAACTTGCATTAGGTCGGCGATACAAAACAAGCACATATTTTGTTATAACAGGACAAAAATGGAAAAAATAAATCCATAAAAAGGCATTACAGAACATGAAAGGACCACTAGAAAAAAACATAAAATCCAATTAATTATTTAATGTTCTGCTCCTTGTATTGCCAGAGTTGAATAAAAAAAAAACTGTTTTGTTATTCATTGTATGAAAATTTGTAATCTTATTAACCAAAAAAAGTCACAAACAACCAAACAAATACTGATAAAAATCAATAGACAAACAAAAGCATTTGTTCCTGCAAACAATCAAGACTAGTCAGACGCAGGACCTCCACTTCCCACTGCAGACCAAGACATACCCACTTACTAA